TTTTCAAGAAAATATTACATGGGGGAAGGGAGTGATGGACCGAAGTGTGGGAAGAGGTGTGTGTAAAACTATTAACTCTTATTTTATTAAAATGTTATTTTTCAAAAATTACAAATTTCCGATGTAAATTTTCCTATCGCACTACTTCATCAGAGAAAATCTAAAAATTTTGAATAAAACTTATCTTATATAGAGGCAGAATTGTTTAATTATTATTTTTATTTTAAAGGTCTAATAAGCAAACTTTTCTAAATCTAACATTTAGGGAAAGAACACTCCATTAATACAACGATCTATTTCTATATAATAAACTATTCATAAATATAGTTTTTTAGTGGCTTGGGGTCCTTATGCAAGCTTATTCGTAATATCTTTGATTGGCAAGACGTCAATTATCACACCGATACTAACTTTGTTTCCAGCTATGTTTGCAAAAACATCTGCTTTGTATAATCCATTCATTTATGCAATATTTTACCAAAAATACAAAAAAGTATAATCAATTTTTTTAATTTTAAGATTTGATTTATGAATTTGAGTTAGTGCTAATAAAGTTACCTTTAAAAAATAACCAGTTATCGTTATAAGTTACATTATAAAGAAGATCTACCACCGCTTTTACAGTTACTTTATAATTTGATTAAAACTAGTAATTTTAACGAATATTCGATGATATAAAAATTTAATAATAAAATGAAATGATAATTTTGTTTTTGTATTATGAATGCATGATGGACAAGCATTAATTATTTTTTCTACAAAATAAAATATGTTAAAATGTTTTTGTTTAAATTGATAATGTTTATATTTATTAAAATATGTTAGCGGATCTACAAATATATATTTTTACCTGCCCATTTTTAAAAAAAAATTTTGCCCGTCCATCATTTACAAAAATCTTAAACCCGCCCACCCGTTTGCCGTTTAAAATAACTTACCCCCCGCCAGCCAATATTAAATAGGCGGATCGGACTGTTAAGATTTCTAGTAGGGAATAAATAATATTAGGGTTCATCTAGGCTATCATATATCTTATTCATATTTTTTAAACTCAGTTTATTATTTACTAGGTTTTGCTTAGAAAATTTACATCTACCTGGTTTAAAAATTATCTAGCAAATTGCGATCTAATAGGGTTTCGGTTAGAAAAATCATACAGTGGCAGTAAGATGACAACACGTAAAAATGCGATTATAAGTGACAAAAGCTCTTATAAATAACAATAAAACAAGAATGAAGAATAATGTTTAACTTTACTTTTATATACAATCTTATTTTTATATAATCCAAAATTAATATATTACTCCTGTATCTAACATTTCTTACTATCTAAATTTTACTACAAGAATTATTTTCAATTAAAATTTTTAAATCCCAAGATAATTGCATAATAATTTAAGAATTTTTATATTAATGATAGAAAACTTTACATCATCGAAAAAAAAATCTTTTCATATCATAAAAATCATATTATTTCTTATTATTATTTAATTCCAACCAATCAACAATATACGGTTGCCTTATAATTATCTGTTAAAAATTATGCAAGGCTACGACAGTTTTGTACATTTATTTTTGATTTATAATTAATGTTTGAATAGTTATTTTAAGTGTATATGAATAAATTGTGTCTAAACATATTTAAATATAGTACATCTATTATAATATTTCAGTGAGTGACGAAACGACCTTAGAAGCAATTTTAATTTTTCTTAAAAAAAGCTTTAAATAAAATTAATATAATCTTTATGCTACTTTAAAATAAGTCAACACCATTCTTTATTACTCTGTTGATATTTTTATGTATTTTTATTACGATGAAAAAAATAAACATTGGGGAACCAATTTAAAATTGCTTATCTTTTAATTAAAAAAAAATCAAGCAAAAGTAATGTGTAATTTTACATTTAAAAAAAAAGTGTTGGGGAAGTAAATAAAAAAATGCTTATTTATTTTAATATTATGCTTTTCGAACAACACCAACTTTACAAAACTGAAAAAGAAAAATTTTTTCTATAAAACTTTCGCTCAACAATCGCAAGTTCAGACGGGATTTTAATATAAAAAATCGTAAATTTCAGCTATCCTATCTATTTCAATTGAAAAAAAAATGTTAAAAGGTTTAAAATCTAACAATTTTAGTTCCTGAGAATACTCTAAAACAAAGACGAATTCCGCTCATTTATAAATCTTAATATTTTGTATGGTTTGGTTAATAAATATAAAACCAATTGCTAGTAAACTTCGTCACTGGTATTCCATTATTCATATAATTTGAATATTAAAGCGGGTTTTTATACAAATCAATTTGATATTTTATTTATCTTTTATTTATAGAACTTCTTTCAAGTTATGTGTTTAAGGGTCTCGGTACAGAGACTTAATCACCCTCATTGTCAAAGATGCTCCGATCCGGTGACTTTTTGTTATCATTTGCTGAGGCGATTTTAATTAGGATTTTGTCTAAACAATTAGATAGCTGGTGCGACGACTTCAATGAGAATCCACACCAGATAAAGGAACACCAAGAAAAGACAGAACAAGTACAACTACATCTAAGATGATATTAACCAGATAAAGGAATCCAAAAGAAAAGAGAACACTTAGTACAATAATTCAAGCACCAGGTGGCGGAACACAAAATGATCTAAATCAAAATAACCTTATTTTAATAAATAAAACAAGAAAAGGCAAAATAAAATAAAAATATAATAATATTGAATTTAATTATAATTATAATAATTCAAGGTGTATGTTAAGAGTTACCATAGGTACCGTTTATCAGAGTATTTTATATAGTATTTATCAAAGCATTAATTGACCTTTTAAGAAATAAAATAATAAATGAAAGTAAAGTTTAATTTAGTCATAATATGAAAGGAACGGGGTTGTACAAAGCTATACGAATAATCCACGCTCATCGGGATTTTGGAAAGAGGAGGGAACAACGATTGTTATTGGGGGGGGGGGGGGGTATCTGGGGCAAAGGATACTTGTGTTAGTTAGAGCCTAGAATCTAGATAATAATTGTAAAAAATCGGCGATTTTTGGTATTTTAAATGTTACTTTAAAGCTCAATGTGCTTTTAACCCGGTAATCACATTGAACAGTGACAAAAAAATTATTTTACGTTACGGTTAAATAAATAAAATAATCGTTAGGATGAAATCTATGGGGAGATTCGTCCCCTTGTAATTGATTAAAGCCAAAAGAGAAAATTATAAGGAAAAAAGGGAGCCGCCGCTCCCTACCTCGTGAACTATGGAAAGTTCTAGTGCCTGAGAGGACTTATTTTCAAAAACAATTTTAAATTACCGACAAAAATTTTATCGAATCTTTTATTAAAAATTTTTTCAAAAGATATGTATAAAAAGATTTTATATATCAAAAAATAATAATAAAGATATTTAAATGATAATCATTATTCAAAGTTCACGAATTCTGAGTTTGAAATGTTCTTTAAAATAAAAAATAATATTGATCTCTGAAGATTTTTTTTAAAGAAGATTTTTAAACAGAATTTTTGATCAAATTGTAAAAAATATTTTATAAGTAAATTTATTGCGATTTTATGCATAAAAATATTTTCATGATGAAATAACAAATTAGAAAAAAAAATTTAATCTCTAAATATAATCTTCAATTTTGTGATATAAAATATTTTGCTCAAAATTTTGGCATAAAAAATGTTCAATTAATCTGTTTCAAACTCCGCAAGGATTTCATTGCAAAATTAAAATAATTTGTTAGGTCAGTTAATAAAATATTTCGCAGTTAATAAAATATTTCGGGTACTTAAAATTGTGACACATCTTTAGTTAATTTATAAAAAAAATAAAAATTAAAACAAATTTGAATATTTTTTAAATAATAAATGAATTAGAGTGTTTCATGCATTTGATAAACGATAATTATCTTCTTTCTTATAAATATCTAATGTCTTTTTAATTCCGATTGATTCCCTAATCAAATTTTTGGATTTGGTTCATTTGTAAAAGTTTTTATTATCGTTGATAGTTAAAATTTACAAAACTATTGGAGTGAAAATAAAGTTATTGCGCTTATAAGTTTATGTTAATGAGTTTCTAGTATTTTATAAGTTTCAAATAAAAAATTTGCTAGGGGCCCAAGGGAATATATTTTAACCAAAAATTTTACCTAAATTTAGAGATTTCGCCAAAAATCAAACCATTCTGCCAGTTTGAGACGAAATTTAGAGGCTTGGGCAACATTTTTTTTGACTAAAACCTTGATTTAGCTTTTTTCTTGAAGCGTCGAGGTTTTTAACAAGCCTATTCCTTAGAGGAAACCAACAAGTAACAATATGCCCATTAATGCGATATTCGATCCTAGCCATAAACCTATAGTAACCTTTATTGGGAAAGGATCTCCAAAAATTTATTTCCACCTAGCCTTTTATCAGATTAGAGTTGTATCAAATTTGGTGAAAGCGGGGGGGGGGGGGTGATGGCTGATCTTAATTTAATGAATGAAAGTTTTGTATTGATGCAGAACTGAAGATAAAGAAATATATACATGAATTTTCTTGTTTTATAATACAATTTAATAATTGAACATCATTAATTTGGAGGCGATAAGGGATTGATGCTATGGTTATGCGATAAAGAAGATAAATTTAATAGATTAAATTTGGTTGGCAATTGGGAAGAGCGTGACTTAAATCTGATAATTTTATATTTCAATGTTTTTATAACTATGTCGAAGTTTTAAAAATGGCATTTTCTTTGGCATATATAAACATTTTAAGATTAGAATTATACTTTGTTGCAATTTTGTACGTAGTAATAGTAATGCACATTAACGAGCGCTGGCACTGATTTTGCATCTTTATATTAATTGAACTCAACTCAAATTAATATAAATACTAATAATATTTCTATTTTATTTTGTCATTGATGATTGTCGTTTATTTATATTATAATAAATACATTTAAAAAATATGATTTAAACACACTAAATCTTGATAGACTTAAATTAAATATTACAAATTGAATCAAAATCAAATGAGTAAATTGATCGTGGAGAATGGAAGAGCCATATTTGTAGTTAAGTATTTATATATTGTTCAAACAAATAAATATATTACACTATGAAAATATATAAGCTATCAATAAACGCATCTTAAAAAATTTAAAAACAAGTATTTTAAGGATATGTATATATTATGCTTGATCTTGTGATTATTTGTTAAGGAATTTATCTAAGAAAAGAATGTTTCTAATGATTGCATATTTCATCAATTGTGTGTATTATTTGATGTTGATAAAGCTAGTGCGATTTGACACAATATAACTGCTAGGCTAATTTTATATAATAAATAAAAGATAATTTATTAGTTGAAGATAACCTGAATATCCCAACCATAGTTATTTTAATAATTCGTTTTAAAGACGACATCCATAACATCTTAATAAAAAAAATTATGCTATATAAAAATTTAAAATAATTTTAAAAAATTGATATTTTGAATCTATAAAGATTTAATAATTAAGAGGATGTAAATTCATTATTTTAATTATATACATTGGTCACAATCAACTTTTTCCTAAAGCCGTCACAGCGATCTTATGTTTGGTAGTTTGTTGGCCTGCATCGGAATCGGAGACGAGAGATGCTTTGAGAATCGACGAATTATTATGAGATGATATAAAAATACTCGCTTTTTCGTGAGAAAAATTATGGCAATTGTTTTTAGAAATATATTCCTTGTGAATGGCCTGTGGAGGTGAAGAGTGATTTAGAGGGGCGGAATTTCGGAAAGGCGAGGCTATGTGTAATAGATTTTTTTAAGGTAAATCATTGTTTTAATTGGCATAGTTATTTTAAAAATAGTGATTGTAAAAAATATGATATAGAAATCTCACTTTTAACATAGCAAATGATTTAAACGAAGCGTTAACTAAGCTAACTACTAGGACCAGGCGACTAATATAGTAAAATCCCAAAATTCAGTCGTTTTTATAGGTAACCAATCTAAATTAGAGGTCTAATATGAACGGATTTTTAACCCGGCGTTGCCCATTGTTTTAAAAATTAACCCGCTAGCTAACCCATAGTTTTTTATAATTCACCCACACTCAAGCCTATTTATCTAAAATTTTATATTTTATTGGTTGGTTTAGCTTTTTATTTATTTTATTTTAATATATTACTTAAATTTATAAAATGTACATTAAGAAATAAAAAAAAATATTCACTAAATATAAGTCTGTTCTGCTCATTTAGTCCAAAAAATATATTTTAAATTCACTCGCCCCCTCATTATTTTTAAAATATTTTTAACCAGCCTATTCACCGGCCCGATGTTTAACATTTTTTTGTCAGCCAGCCCAAACCCGCCCATATCGTATTGTCATATATATCACGAAGATATAACAATAATTTTTAATCATCTATACTTTTTGAACGGAATAAACTCAAGCTAGAAAAACCAACCAAAATCATGTATACTATGTTAGAAACCTGCAGACTGGGCTCTTGTTGGCCCAGTTTAACTCCGATAGTCTATAAATTAGTTTTTTGCACCATGATGTCGAAAAAAACATTAACGAATATAAAACCAGAACCGGACCAATAAAAGGGGTGAGGAACTATTTTAAAAAAAATATTGAAAAGTAAAAATTATTTAACTTTTTGTCATAAATCTAACATTCTATAAAAACGCTAATATAGTGTGGGATGAATTTTAAAAGTTTAAAAATTAACCAAAATAGAATAGAAATAATAATCTAAATTTTCTAATATTTACCATTAAACCCATTTTTAACAGTTTTGAGAGGCATGATTTCATACTTGTCAACCAAATCCTTTTCATCTGCTCTTAAATTAAACCCATTATTCGGATTTCTTGTAGGATAATTGTTATTGGAAGTTATTAGACTTCTTTGATTTAGAGAAGAATCGTTTCTTTTTAGGTGGATATTTATATTGGAATCCTTTCTTTGATTATTTAGGCGAGTTTTATTAGTAGATTCATCGTGGTTATTATTTAAGGCTTCCCGTCGATAATTATTGTGGGAAATGTCTAGGCGATTATTTAAGGTTGTGCTGTCTGAGTTGTATTTGTGGTTATTGGAACCTTTAATAGCACCAGAGAGAGCGTCTTCCATACGAGCGTCAAAAGGCGTAATATTATTTAAGTTGAGGTGTGAATCGTTAGTATTACTATTGAAAGAAATGCCTAAATCGGATAAGAGCGATTCTCTGGAGTCCAATAAGTGTTCGCGAGCGAATAAATTTTGGTCGTGAGAATTCTACGCGAAGAAAAAAAAAATTAAATAATATTGTGCAAATTTACATTTATGAAAATAATTCCAACCATGTACATATCTTTATAATTTAGTGGACAAGGTCTTGATTTTTTATACCTGATTTATAATATTTTCGATAAAATTAAAACAGAAAATTATTGTGAGCTTGGGGTGAGATTAATTTAACATGTAAACATTAAAACTTTTTAAAATATATTAAAAATGTGTAGTATCGCTAGAGACGGGCAAATGTGCTCAGCAAGCCGTAATATAATTTAAAGTCGAAATCAAGAAAATTGACTATATGTTCAAATAACTATCAACTAAACATAATTAAAGCTCCTACTCTAAATAAATTAAGTAATTTATAGAATATTGTTTATGAGTTTTTTTGTCACATTAAATATATTTCAAAAACAAAGGTATGATATCTAATGTTTTTTTGACTGCTGTATCTATTAAAATTGAAATTTTAATGGACAGGATTTCTTTTGAAAGAATTACTTTATTAGAATAGAAAGCACATATTGATTAATTTTTTATTTCAAAATAAAACCTTCACATTTTTTTAACCAAATTAATTAGTTTATTCCATATGTTTCCAATTTGTTTTTTTTTCTAATAAATTCTATATTATATTTGAATTATAGATATTATATACAAGTAACAATATCATCTATGATTCGAATTCAGGTTTTTCAATGTATTTATTTATAAATAAATTTGTTTTCTTAATAAAATTTAGGTTTTTTTAAAAAAACAGTGGTAAAGCACCACGCTATTGTCAAATTAAAATGAAGTGGGAAAAGTATATTAAATGCCGACCACCAACATAATTAATGCAATATAGACCATAACCAGCCTAACCGAAAATTTAATTTTATATTTCCTTACTAAACTTTTTTTCCCCCCGATTAAATATTGCAATTATAAAATCAATTTTTTTTTCATAGGTCTGGGTCCTTTCAAATTTTATATTACTGAACTATTAAAAAAAACAGGATATTTGAATAAAATCGGAAAAAAGTAAGCCTTGAGGCTAATATACAATTTTATAGTTGTTCTTAAAAATAATATAGTAGAAAAAAAATAGTCTAAAATTTTTTGTCAGGGTCCTACTCCGGTCCGAAATAAATTAACGAGTCCAAAAAGATGTCTTACTAAATCCAGCAGATCAAACATGAAAATATATAGATCAATAAAATAAAAAATAATAATAACAATTCCGGTTACAATAGAATTAATTTTTTTAATATTTAAGGTCATTATATTTATTATATTACTATAAAAATATGGATTATGCTTTCATAGTAGATTTAAAAAAAATATATTTCCTAAATTAATTTTTGAAAGTGTGGCTGTCAGCTGTTGCCATTTATATATTTTTTTTAATTTAAATCTCTTTTCAATTATATTAGAGTAAAAAAAAATATTGCTAATAAATTTATTAGCAAAAAATACTATCGTGTATCTCTATAGTTTCTCAGGTGACCATAAGTTTAAAACGTTAAAAGTAGATAACGTCAAAAATAAACCAAAAAAATATAAGACTTCTGGAACTGAAGGAAACTATACGAGGTTTGTTGCAGTAATGTCCCAATTCAATCCTTCTAATAGAAAAAAAATTAAAAGTTAAATGTGGGGAAACACCGAAAATATTTTAATCAAAATATATATAAGTTGTCTAGAAGCATAAAAATGGCAAAGGGAAAAAGTTAATAGGTAAGCATCAGAGGTTTTATTGTTGTATAAACTGTTGTAGATAAATATTGTCAAATATATTTTTTTAAATTTTTTCTTATTTATATTATAATTATTTTTATTTATTTGAGAAAATGCAACTATTTTCAAATAATTCCGAAAGAAGAATATTTAATTGAAAAAATACAAATTATGGATTTTTATTTTTTAGCTTGCATCTGTTAAATGGAAAAAACGATGAAATTAAAAATAAACATAACTTTATAGATACAAAATAGTAATAACAATTAATAATGACTTTTTAGTCCTATCAAATATTTATTTTAGACTTAAATGTTTTTAATTAATTGAATTTTTATGTTATGAATCAGATCCATTTAACTAATCCCTCCTATACCCTTAAAAAAATGAAATATTTTTCAATGTTTTTTCGTACAGGGCCCTCTATCTCCCTTAAACTAATGATGCTTAGACCCCACAAAGTGTCCAGTGATGCAGTCACTCCCTCCTAAAAAAGTTATACCAGATATTTTAAATGACGGGAGAAAGGAGGTAGGAGTAGAATTCATTTGCTTCCATATCTATTTTAGAGAGAGGGGAGGGTTTCCTAAAAGGTAGGGTGTAAAAAATATTTTAAGGAAGGGGGTGGAGGGTAAAGCGTGTTGCCTCAATTTTTCTCTCTTTATGAAGACGCGACAAATTGCACTAAATAAACTAATATGCTTGAATTAGGTGTCTAAAACATATGCCTTAGCCTATACCCTGGCTCTGTTGTTTACTGCTATAACTCCATACTTTTACCTAATAACTTTAAAGATTTAGCGAAATTTTTTGCACAATCAAAAATATCCGCTTATCATAAATATTTTTTTTGGAAATTATTTTGGCCATAATGATAAGGGAAATAAATAAAAAATATAATGGGCAAAGGCGGCAACATAAAAAAATTTATGAGGGTTGTAAATTTTTTTAAAAAAATTTAACGTTAATTAAAATATAGATTAGATATCTAGAAATCACGGCCCGGCCCATTTTAAAAATAATTTCGGCTCCAGCTGGGTCTATTTCTCGGGTCAGGTTTAAATTAAATATGATATCATTGCATTTTGTCAAGTTGATATATTTTAAAATTCGTTAATATATTTTATTTGTATTTATTAAATAAATTCGGGCCGGGCCAGGCGGACAAATAATTTTAATTTCTGTCGGGCTTTTCGGGGCAAATAAAAAAAATTCGTTCGGAATAGGGCAGAGCAGGACAAATTTTTTAAAAAAATTTCGGGATGGGCCGGGCTTGAAAAATTAAACCCGATGCAGATCACTAATAAAGATTAATGGTTCAAAATTATTTACTTAGTAGAGTATTTCAATGGGGGCGAGAGCCCCATTGACCCCATGAAGTCGTCGCTTGTGATGAGAGTAAGGGGTATAATTATATTCTAAAAAATGGGGGGGGGGGGGTATCATGCTATATACCATAAAACCCGACCTTCCTACGATTTAAAACACGTTATTGCGTCACCCCCCCCCCCCCCCCCACGGCAGACGGCATCATTGTTTTCATAAAGGTATCTCAAAATCTTTTAATTTCTTGATCATTTGTTACTCCGTATTATTCTAGTAAACGAATCATATATAAAAAAAACTATAAATTGCCGATTTCGCCTTTTAACATAGACTAATTTGGGAGATTAGCGAATAAAATTTTTTTTAATCATAGATCATGTTTTGATTTTCCTAAATATTAATTCTGAGATATAAGCTCTGTTTATAATTCCAATTTAAATGCGAGCAAGATATCTCTAATAAGTAAAAATATTGTTGTTTTTAGATTAATTTGGGCGGCGAATAAAATTTTTTTTATTATGGATCATGTTTTTGATTTTTCTAAATATCAATTCTGAATTCTGAGATGTAAGCTCTGTTTACAATCCAATTTAAATGCTAGCAAGATATCTCAATAAGTAAAAATATAGTTTTTTTTTAAATTCTTTCATTAGAATGAATATAGAGCCCAACAAATTGATAAAGAATTGTGGGATACTTTTATGAAACATAAAAATTTTATAAAAAGTATTTAAACTTCGGTCTTTTGATGTTGGTCCAAGGTTCGAAATTTAATATTAGGAAAATATCGGTGTCATATGGCAATATTATTATTTTTATATAGGGACTCTGCCTTTCACTACTAGTAAGAAATGTATCATGAACAAAATGATAATTGAAAATAATTACCTTGAATTTGAGTTTAGATTTATCGTCGGAATTTGTTAGAAATCTGTTGGGGATTATGGAACGCGATATCTTTATTCTCTTGTGATTTTTGTTGATTTGCGATTGTTGAACTTGTTGCAAATTTCCGCGTCCAAAAAACTTGGCTTGTCGAAGGTCTTCGTTGTAGAAAGTATCGTTGACTTTATTGCGTTGGTTTTTAATAGTTTGGATGAAATTATTAGGGTGGTAATCGGTATTTTTAAACCGTTTAGGACTTTTCGTTATATTATTGCCAGAGTTAGAATTCATGCTTAATGATATATTTGAGTTATCGCTATTTTTTATATATCCAGTTTTGGGATGATTGATAGAAAAATATCTACGAGATATAACACCATCTACGTCGTTCAGTCCTTTCAGGTGGATTCCCATATCTTCCTCATAATCTCCATACATATCGTCTGCTTCATCTTCTTCTTCCTCATCTTCTTCTTGTTATAGAGTGATGTCAAAACAAGTTTAAAAAAAATATTATTTTATAAATGCTCGAAAGAAAAGACTATTTTATAGTGAAATCTATTATTTCTATAAATAAATCAAATAAATTATTTCTTTGATTTTAAAAATCAATTACAAATCAAGTACTACTAATGTAATGACCCCCTATCTTAAATGTCTCGATAAATGAACAACCCTGGAAAGTTCTATCTTTTAGTCATGTTTTAATATTAACTCTTTAATTAATTATATTATGATTTTATTTTAATAGTTTTTAAAAAATAATGACGGAAAAGATTTTATTATTTACCGCCAATATTATAAGGCATTATCTCTTTTTTCTATTACCTTATTTTATGGATAAATAATAATAAAATTTCAAAAATAGAGCTTTTATACGTTGATTTTAATAATGCATCACAAACTAACCTTCTTGTTCAAATTCATCGTTAATATCGTCTGCCAGGTATAGCGGTCCAGAATAGTCCGCTTCGTCTGCGTAATAATGTAATTCCGTTTCCTCATATCCCTCCTCGCACATTCGAGGATCGTTGTTTTCTTCCTCCTTCCCGCCTAATAACATTTTGTCATTTTGGTTCATTCCGATATCGTTTTGGTTTAAGTTTCGAAAACGAGGGTAAATAATATTATTATTATTAGTGGTAGTAGTAGGAACATTATTAGTGGATATGTGATTGAGGTGCGCTATATATAATTGCGTGTCCATCGTGGTAGAAGGTATTCTGGAAGTCAACACGTTATTATTATTATTTTCATTATTCTTTTCCAACTCAACCATTTCCCGTTCGATTTTTGATTCTCTGTCGTTATTTTCATCTATTTTAATATGTAAATCATCGTTAGAATTATTTGTAAACATGTTATTTCCATGGTTCGGTCCAATAGTATGAAGTAAGGGAATATCGTTCTCTATTAAAACATTCGAATTTGAAGATACTGTATGGGTAAATGTTAAAGGAGGAGGATTGTCAGGTGAATTGAGGCAGGTTTGTATAAGAGCCTTCCCGCTCTCACTAGTTATCATGGGTTGCAATTTGCGGGTTGCAAATGTGTAAACGTGGCCAGTCTCGCTGGCTACGAGCAACATAACTTGTGTACCTGTTAGAGTGGATAGCTCATAGGCCTACATTTGTATAATATTTTAATATATAAATATATTATAAAAATTTGACTGCAAAGTATTTTATATTTAACATGCACGGGTTCGATTTCAAGACTCGGCCAGTTATAAATTCAACGTTGGCATGGTTAAAAATAAATTGTAAAAAATAATATTTAAAGCGCAGTGAATTTTATTGTCATTATACCAAGGTTTATTCAGTGCTGTAGTACTAAAATTGGGGAAAGGGAAGGCTTATTTTTTAGGGGCATATAAAAATAGGCAATTTTTTTTGTAAAAATTTGAATTTTAAGTCATAAAAAAATCTTTACGTTTTCTTGTAAAAATTAATAGACAAAAAATTTAATTTTTTATAATTTATAACGTAAATAGAACCTTTTTACTAAATTGCCAAAAGGAACGAATTAAAGCTTTTTAATTTACTAAACTAATTTTAAAACCGTTTTCTTTTAAATCTTTTGATTAATGTCTATTTGTTAAAAAATTTTATTATTATAAACAAATTTAATCTACTGATTTACGTATCTTAACTTTATAACACTAATTTTTTTTAAAAATTTGGAGAAAACTCGAAAATTTAAATTATATTTTAAAAATTATAAACAATGAGTCGTACCCTTTATAATATTTTGCACTTGAACTGTAATCTTTATAAAATTTCCCCTTAATCACGACCTATATACTCTAAATCTAAATCAAATTAGATCACCATAAATTTTATTTTCTTTACTATTTAATTCAAAATAAAATTTCGAAAGGTTTAGAAATCTTACCTATATATTCTGGTTTAAATTCTAGAGAATACAAATCAAAATGAAATTTACTTAACATTCGTGAATCAAATTGGATGTCATTTACTTAAATAAGAATTCATCAGAAAGATAAGTTAAAGGTGTGTATCTTTTACATGTTTAATATTATCGTTTCCTATTGTTTTATGTTTAAAATATATTTTAAAGTTACATTTAAATAAAATGATGCCCAGTTATCCGACTCAATTTTTAAAAAATTAAATTTCATAAACATAAGATCCTATGACGAAATTCTAAAATATTGATGATTAGTGGTAAACTATTCAAAATACTTAATCTAACAGTCCCCGAAAAAAAGTGGAAAATAAATATGAGATGTTTGAAAAATCTATTGATATAAAATAGATATTCGTGTACCAGTAGTATTATTTTTAATTGAAATCCATTGCTCGAAATGAATCATTCTTTATAAGAATATTCATTTTATGGGTTTTTATTTTATACGATATTCATTTGATATCTTAAAAAATCTTTATCAAATTCCGCCATTTTAAGGTAAAAAAATATACTTAGATGACATGCCAGTAAATCAAAAAGAGACTCCGAATTGCGTTTATGAGTAAAGGGAAGATTTAGAGAGCGCCTTAACCCTTATGATTTTATTTTATTAATTCTAGGATGAATGAAATCATATATACACTTGATTAATTACATTTGAATTTTGTGGTACGAAAGTTCGATAAAGCCTAAATCTTAATGTTTTAAAGGGCTATCAAATTCCCCCAAAATATTTGTGTTATAGGATTGTATGTAGTAATGTGATGAAGGAATTATTAATTCAAACAAATAAAGATATTTATAGATAAATCTTATTGATTTGACGCATATTTGGTTTCCGCAAGGGGATTTATTTTTTCAACAAGATAATGTGCCATGTCATCGGAGTGTCGAACCGTAAAGTATAACGGTTCAGTTTCTTTGCGGTTCTTAAATTTTTTAACCAATTTAGTTCCATTCCAGTTATTTTTTATATAAAGGTTCGTTCCAGTTTTTTTATAAGCTTTAAATTTTTTGAATTAACTAGAATACCCATACTAATATAATAAAGATATTTTTAAAATTATAAAAACAAACAAAAAATTAAAGAAAAGTTGGGTATGTATGTATCTTTATTTTATTATAAAACATGATTAAAAAATAATAAAACATAATATAACCAGATATAAATTTGTAACATTTATTTTTCGAAATTGAATTAGAACGAATTAATATTGAAAAATAATATATCAAATTATGCCAGTTAGCTATGAACCGGTTTAAATCGGTTCGAAAATATTTATAATATTTAGGTTCTCTCCTTTTGGAATTATATTATGTTCAGTTATGCTTATGGTACAGAAAATAATAATGGGTTTTTTTATTTCGCGGTTCGGTTTGACCCTTGTATGTCATACATCAAAAATGACTAGATAGCAGTTTAGTTTTGCTGGAATTGCCTGTATCCAAATCTAAATCAAGTAAAAAGCTAGACAAATATAGACCTAAAAACAAATGAGTTGAAAGAAAGGTGTGAAACTTTATTAGAACTCTCTGCCTAATGGTATGAGTAGTCTTAAAAACAAATGGGATGTTATAGAAATGTGTAAAACCTTATAAAAACTCACTGCCAAAAAGAATTAGGCTAAAAATAGTGTTAAAGGTGGAAGTTTTAAATATGGGGGGAGGGGGGTTGAAATGTATGTCTTTACTTAAGAAAAGGGAGGAGAATCTCATACCTTCATTCTCACTCTTTATCTTCCCAAACTTTTGGAATCGGCAAGACGTCTGAGTTTGTTTCCAATAAAGATGTTAATCTTTACTATTTGTCATAATATCTGATTAGATGGGGTTTCTTATATCTGTAGCACCTGTTCAAACACTGCTATCAACACCAAGAGTCTTAATGCGACAGATTCCAACTTCAGCATTCTGGGAAATCCTTTGAATCCTCTAAAAAAACATTTGCCCTTAACTAAAAATGTTAGTTCATTCTCTTTGGAGGGAAAGGGGAACTTATACACTCGTTAAAATAGAATACTATCTGCTATCAATATAATATCTTCTTCCCATAAGCAGCAGCAGGCTAGAGTTTAAAAGATTGCTCAAGGCGAAGATCAGTTTTAACGTGCTTTGACAGTGAACATAAAGTAGTATTGGCGGTGAATGTCTATGCGAAAGGAGTGAGCGGATTTACATATATATAAGATGGAGTTAAAACCCGAGATTGTTTTTAGAAAACTTTTACGGGTTAAAAAACTTATTTTATAATTGATAGAAAGTTCTAGCTATGAATTTTAGGAACAAATTGTTTTGAATATTTTTGAGGTGAAGTTTTTGGTTCATACTGAATACAATATATAACCCACTTTTATACTAGTTAGAGAAACTGGCTTTTTTTTATTAAAGATGCTTAAAAGCTGTTTTTTTTAATTATGAGGAATTTTTTGTTTTTAAAAACCCCTTTTGCTCATCCATTCTCATGCTAATGTCAAGTAAATAAGGGGCTAAGTAAAGATAGTTTTATTGGAGACGATTAGTTTAAAGATAGATGAAATTCTATAAAAACTTTAATAGACACGGTTTCTTAAAGTTTCTGCATTGGATAATTAAGTATGTTGCATGGTGTAAACTAACTCAGGAAAGAGTATGTGAAGATTTTTTTAGGTAGGAGGTTTAAAAAAAATTTGTACTTCATTAATTAAAAAAACCAATAATGAGAAAAATGTTTGTTTTATTACAATAATTTATAAATAAAAAAAGAAGGGGGTGAGAGGGTTTCAAACAAATTGCAAAATTGTATTTACATTTATATGATGTATAGAAGATCTTTATAAATGATTCTTCAAGAAGTTATGACCCCTAAAGCCCTCCCTGATGCAACTGGCCATGGTATTACTTGTATTTATCACTTTTTAGAAGTAATTAGAGTATGGCCAAAAAATATTAATGTTATATTTCCTTCCTATTCTTCAATCTTTGCTTGATTGAACATCACATTTATAAAATGAAATTTAAAAAAGGAGTTGAGAACATTTACTATTCATTTTAATATCATATCCCGTAATAGAATAAAATTGATAAACATCATTAAATTATCAAGGGTCATTCTACTTTTAAATAAAACAAAGATTAGTCTTCTAGGATTAGAAAAGAATTAGTGATTTTTATTTTATTTACAGGCCAAAAAATAGAAATTGGTGAAACAAAAAATAAATACAAAACCAGATCAAGTTCTGTTTGGGCCAAAAATAATTGTGTATGTCTTGTGATTGCTAAATTGACATGTGATTAATCTCCCCGTTCCAGATACTAGACCTACTAATGAGGTAATTAGAAACTGTTTGATAGAAAGCATTAAGGGGAGGTGGGAATCAGCCAAAAAAAAGTGAAAAGTTAATAAAATAATCTTGTCAATAAATGAGAATATTTATGCCTTTAGGGTATATTAATTTAACACATATGAATGATTTAATATATTTAAAATTATTTTTCTTATTATTAGTATGTAGATTTTTAATTTTTTTAAAACTATTTTACTAAATAATACAAAAGGTTTGAATTATAAAAGTAAATTGTTAACAAGTATAAACCTAAATAATATCTTATTAAAATAATCTTTATTTGATATTCTATAGAGATTATAACAAAACTTAGGGTACTATCTTTTGATAAATATTAAATAAACGTTTTATAAGCTTTATGTAAATGTTTGTATGGTAAACAATATAAAGAAAAACAAAATACCTTTTTCATAATTCCAGTCTTTCTTTTACTGAAGGTTGTATAACGCCTCAGTTTATTATCTATAAATTCCATCTTAATTTTAACTCTACCTTTAGTTTTTTTGGCAGGAATTCCATTTGGTATAATATCATCTTCTGAACTATTTGATTCCATATTTGAAAATATAATTTTGAGGAATACCAAAACTAGGATATTTAATATCTTTACGGTTATAATTACAATTCATTTTTCATTTATTTATTATCTATCATTCCCACTATAATCCAATCCTAATATGATATGTTAATAACAGCTGAATTTCTTCCATATGAATAGGATAATTGATATTGAGTTTATTTAAAAAAGGCATGTGTTATATTTAACAAATATAGTTCAAGGATTGCATAATTTATAAACAGATTTAAATCTATATTGTGCATGATATTTTAGAATGCAAATTTATATATTAAATTGTATAATGCTTCTAATGATTTTCAATTTTTATTGTAATAAATAAGTTTATTTTATTTTTTTAACTGTAGAAGAAGTTTAAGAAGATATCAAAAAGTATCAAACAAAATATAGGTCATAGAAAAAGATAATATTGGAAGAAGCTTGGTAAATTATTCTATAGAAGAGATAGAGATTAGGTAATTAGAGCGTATAATTTCTGTAGAAATGTTGTTAAAATACCCAATAAGGGTCGATTTTTAAAACGGCCGATTAAGATTTTAGACAAAATAATATTGTATAAACCTCAATATTTGGTAAGTAGAAGCCCAAATCTTTCTGCTATCAGTAAAATCACAAGGCTTATACAATATTATTTTGGTTATCTTAATCGAGCTGTTTTAGAAATACCCGAATTAGGCTTTTTAACAAAACTAGCAGCAATCCGAGATTTAGCAAGGGCTAGGCCATCGGAAATTTGTTTGATGTTGAATAATTATGGATTGAGCTTAACTTTTATTTTTATTATTTTTTATAATTCTATTTTTGTGAAGCATTCAAATTGTACGAAGATTTTTTCTACCGATGTTTTTTTACTTAAGTAGATATATATTTTAGAAATAATAAAATAAAATTTATTTATCCACCACTATTTAGCGTCCATATGTGAGGACCGGAAAACCATGATAGTAGAAAAAATTTCTTCAGATCTTCTTTAAGGAAATCAAAATTCTTAAATTAAAATTAAATATAAACTAATTTAACATGATTTTAAAATAATTTTACTCAATTTAAAAAACAAAATTAAGATATGCAACTCAATGTGATCAAGAAGCAGTATAGAAGTTGAACAATAAGCTATATCTATATAGTAAAATCAATGGAGATTTACAATTCCAAACCCACGTAAGAAGAAAAGTTATAATAATTTAAAATACTATTCCAAAATAAAATCATAACTTATAACATAAAATAACTTATAACACAAATATTAATCAATTATAATGGATATAGATGAACACATAGAAAACCTTGAAGAATATTTATTAAACAATGAAATAACAGTAGATTTTCTTAATAACTTACCTGATTATATTTTTGATTTCTTAAATAATGATCAGATATTGAAATTAACTAATGATGAATTCACAGGCGCAATAAAAGGGTATTATGAATATAAATTATCCTTAGTTCAACCATATAATCAATATAAAAATCATAATATTGGCAATTTTCAGTCTAAAACTCATTATAAAAAAAGTATATATAATAGTAATTGCCATAATAGAATAATCCAGGAAATTATTATAAGAATAATCAATATAAAGACTATAATCATTATAATTAATATCGTAATAGAAATAATCCAGGTAATTATTATAAGAATAATCAATATATAAATTATAATGAATATAATTATTGTAATGATAAAATTCATAATCATATTTCCATAATAAAAATAATTATTACTATAACGAACAACCTTATATATAAGAATGGAAATGTTCGTAAACAAAATAATATTTGTAATAAAATTATGGAAATAAAAGATAAAAAACCAATTGATTTAGAAAATACCTGGTTTATTTATTTATAGCTGATTATGATTCTGATCCTTATGAATTCTGGAAAAGCGCTAATTAGTTAAATAAGAAAACTTTTTGTGAACTTAAAATACTAAATATTATGGACATATATCGTACTAAGCTTATTAAAAATTTGAAAATTATAACTAAAAATTTTAAAGTAATTTAAAGATAAATCATATATGAAGATAATAAAGTCCTATAAATTAAAATATATAAATCATATGATGAAATTTAAAGAAATACTTGTAATTTAAGAAATTAGTGTATGCTAAAGTAAATAATAAAATTATAATTTCAAAAGTTGACGTGAATCTTACAAATTGAAATCCATTATTCACATGTTAGTTTACAAAGAAACTCCTATAATTTAATATAAAAGTGATAAAAAATTTAGGAAACGTAACACTTTGAAGATAATAAACCTTAAATCGTACTAAAAGGATGGTACATTTAAGAATAAAAGTATTATAAAGAGAGACAATGTCAAAACTGTACATATTAATTTCAGAAATTTTTTTAAAGCTGCGATAAGAAGATCATTTTTTACAAATTTGAGGCAAAGAAATTATTTTTAATAAAGGCAATGATGATTTGAAGAATAATTATAATATTAAGACACTTTTTAAATTTAAAAAAACAAGGGTGTGAAATTCAAACTTTTTTAAAAGAGAGGGAAATGTGCATAATAATATTTTATTTAACCCAGGCGCGTACGCAGATGGGGGGGGGCAGGGGGACAAATCCCCCCCCCCCCCCCAGCCCCCCAAAGCCAAAAAATGCAGATGCCGGATTATATTTTTCAAAAATATTATTGTTAATATTAATTTATATTTGTTAATATTTATTCTTATCTCATATATACATATATATATATATATATATATTTAATTACATTTATTTATCACATTCATCTACTAAGTTATTTTATCAATCAATTTCGATTTCAACTTTTCCTTGGTGTAATTTACCTATTATTTTCAAATTTTAGTGGCGTAATATTTATATAAATTTCTAATAAAATAATAATTATCTCTGAAACTCCTTGTCCAACAGGGAGAAAAAAATTGCAAGCTTGTCCAACGAGATCGAGTCTCCGCACAGTAACAGCTATTTTGGAGTTAGAAGAGCTGATTATTAATGTTATTACTGAAATATCACAATGGCTTGAAAAAAATATTTCCTCAGAAGCAAGAAAATTATTGGATTCAATACTTATTCCAAATTTTTTTTCTCATTAGAATGTATTATTTAATTATACAACTATTTTATGTAATACTTTTCAAAAACATAACATTGACTTGATTAAGAAGATGAGAATAGCGGAGAGCATTTTATTAGAACTCAAGGAAATAGAGCTAGTGTTGTTGAAAAATTTCATATTTTATATGTTATTGTTGAGTCAAAAGCAGAGCTATACGTGTTAAATATTTGTCCCCCTCGACTTGCAGCAAGCAAGCTCATCATCAAAACATTAATATAGGATCAGTAGAAGAGTATTATAAAACAAATGTCCCCTCTCCCAACCTTTTTCATATGGTGATAGAAAAAAAATATAAATATTTGTTATATTTTTATCATGAAGATGTTAAAATATCTTATGATGCCTTATTAGCTGAATAACTATGATTAAAAGATTAACTATGGTTGATACAGTCCCAAAAAATGCTATGGATGCTTTTATTTCAAACACATTTTAGATTATACTCCCAATTATTAAAATGGTTATATATATATTAGCAGATTTTTAGTAAACTAATGAGAGAACCTTCACTTTTTTAAGAAGAATAACAGAGCCTTGCAGAGGTACCATTTGCAGGACCAGGCCCAGATTTTTTTTAAAAATTTTTTCCGGCCCGGGTTTTTTTTAAAAAAATTTTCAGGCCCGGCCCGGCTGGCCCAGCCCGAATTTTTTAAAATAAATTATATTTATTTTTGATATTTATAGCTAACAATGGCGATTTCAAATATTTGGTTTTAAAATATACAACTCGGCTCGGATATTTTTTCTTAAAAAATTTTCAGGCCCAGCCCGGGTGTTTTTAAAAAAAAAAATACGAGCCCGGCCCGGGTATATTTAAAAAATTAAAATACGGTCCGGCTCGGGGGCCGGGCCTGCAAGTCTGTGAAAAACATACCTATGAAATACAACATCTGAAAGTAGATTGAATGATTTGGATCTTTTGAATATTCATAGACATTTAACGTCAAGCAAGGATTGATAATTGAAAAATTAGCTCAAAACATACAAAATACAATTATTCCTACGAAACTTTTTGTGTATTAATTTATATTTACAACATTTAAATTTTTTATACTTTATATATTTTAAAAGCTCAAAAAATTCAAATTTCAATTTTGGGTCATTTAAGTGATTCATATCGTGGGTTATATTCACTTTATATTTTATGATTCACATTTAAATGCCGGTTTATATATATAATTTTTTTAATTCACATTAGTTTAAAATTGTGTATTAGAAAAGTTATTAATCCTAATAAATTTATGCTTAGTATTTTTAATTAAAAATATTATTTCTTAAAAAAATTTATTATCCCTGCCCCAGACCAAATTCCTGCGTACGCGCCTGACTTAACCTCATAACTTCAAATTATTATTAACCCTCTATTGCGTATATCATATTTGAATACACATACCATAAAAATAAATTTTAATATAAATTTTTTTTTACAGTATAATACACATGATGTATAATACATACACATATATTTTATTTATTTCCATTGTTAATTTTGTCAAAAATGAAAGACAGCGATCAATTTTAAAATTCTAAAATACGTAGTATATTCGAATAGTTGTATTTTTTCCATTTTATAAATTAAGTCATTTCTCTTGTTCAAATTTAGGAACATGAAGTTAAAAACCTATTAAATAAAGGTTAAAGAAATGTTTTATATATAAATAGATTGTTATATTCATTAATAGTATTTAAATTTTAAGGTACGTGCACCCAGATACATAATGCGCACAAATGCAATATGAATTTGAGCTTTTTTGATTTTTTTTTTAGAATATTATTAAATGTTCTTTATTTACTATCTATAGTCAGAAGATAATCTGATTCTAACTTTAGTGGTTCATCAGATTAAGAAATTCTTGATTCATAATCAGCAGATGTTGATTTTAGCGGAAATGCGGTATTTCACTATTGGTACCACTACATTCCAATTTTAAATTGTGTTTGATAATTGGTTCTGTGGCATAG